ATGTGGTGTACCAAAAATATAAGATATTCTTCTTCTTCTTTGTGCGTATCTGTACTCGGATTAATTCAGAAAAAAAAAAAAGATTACGACAAAAGAGGGAATATTGGATGAGAATAATGCCTATGGTCCTACGCCTGAAATTTGCAATAATAATCCCATCATTTATCAGAGGCGCAGAGAATGACTTTGACCACAACATCTCTCTTTTTTCTTTAGAATCTCGTTAGTCATTAAGCTTCTTTTTCTTCCCTAAGCACAACACTCTAGCAATTTATAACCCTATTATATAGTGTAAAATACGTCCATATCTTGCATTATAAGGCATGTTTTTGTGGTCCTTACTTATATGTAAAGCCAAGATATACTTTTGTCAATCGTCTAACTCAACTAGCTCGATCACTTAACTAAAGGGAAACTTCTAACTCAAGTGATAAAATATGTACTCTCGTACACTAACGGTAAAGGGTAAAAGGCTAAACTCTTATCCTCTTTATTCATGAATAAATAAATAAATTGTTTGAGTGTGACATATTCAATTTATATTATTTTCGGTACAAATATTCAATTTATATATAGTTTCCGAACAAGCCATAAGGCATTTCGAAATTTTCAGAATTTCATAAAAGCATTCTGATTCTGATTCCAAAATTTCTCAAACAGTTGTTCAATTAAGAAAAAAGAAAAAAGAAAAAAATGGACATTCATTCCCCAAATTTATTTATAAAAAAACATTTTCAGGTTGAATTTCCCTAACCATGTGTATTGAAAAGGTACCATATCATAATCACCACGCAAAAAGTATCGGAAAAAAGAGCAAATAAGCTCTAGTTTGAGTGGTCAAAGAAAGCTCCCTCAGAAAATATAAATAGGAATAATATTAGCATGGGACAAATTTATCCTAATTTATACTTGGTGATTGTAACTTGTTGTGCACGTTGTTTGGAGTTGGAGGGAGAAAGTGGGGACCCTAAGATATGCATAAGCCAATTCATATATAGTTTTGTGGATTGAGTACTTTAATTACTTAGTCTCTGGGGTTGGAGGCTTGAAACTCACTCCACTTTTTTTAACAGTTGAGATGTCACTGCCTGGGGAGAGAGTGAGAAGCTTGTGACTTGTGAGCCACTCATGGTCATGAGAGCTAAGTGTTTTGCAACCAAGCTCGTCCTCATAAAATAATCAAAGGCTAACAAACCACGCTAGATCTGCTTTTTTTTGGTAGTTTTTTTTTTCTTTCTTTCTTGGTTGTCACTGAACTGACTAACTGTCTTTGCAATTTGAAAATTGTTATTAAAGATAATGCAAACAAAGTGATGCCTAAAGTCTTCTTGATATTTTGGTAGGTAGTACACCATGCCTGGACACTGACAGACTAAGTACCCGTTTGGCATTACTTATTTGGGGTAATAAGTGATTTTTAAAAAATTTCGGGAAGCCCAGCCCATTTGGTAACCTATGAGAAAATCACTTATTGTTAAAAATTGCTATGAGAGAAAGCAATAAATGAGAGCAGCTAATGACCTGCTTTCATTTTCTGATTATACGGTAATCAGATTTGAGGGAGCGCTGGGTTTTAATGAATTTTACAACTTCCGAAAATACCCCAATCTATTTTCACGCTCTCTCTTCCTCCTTCCCTCACATCACGTTGCTTCTTCACACAATCTCTTCACAGAGCCCACTCTTCTCCTTCTCTTCCATTCTGCCTACGGTTTTTTGTTGTTGGATCCATTGAAGCTCATTGCTGAGCCACAAGACTCAGGTAAGAGACGCATATTATGTTTATTTTTTTTTCAATTTCAATCTTCCCTCTTTCTCTTTAATTTCTAGGGTTTTAACTATCTTCCCAAATGAAAAAATGTCATTCTCATGCCAATACGTGATATAGAAAACCAACAGCAAAAACGCACATCACCACTGACCCAAGAAAATGGGCTTAGATTAGAAAGTCAGTCCTGCCCGATTTGCAAAAAATATCCCTATTGTCTTTGTCTGTTGCTCTATTACTATTTGTCTCGCTTGCAAAAAATATCCCAGCCTTCCTCACTTACTCACTCTCTCTCTTGCTGTTTCTCTTTATTTGGTTATGGGCAAATAGATTTCGAGGGGGTCAAACCTCCAAAGCATAAAGCTCTAATTTTTACTTGGAATTTTCTATATTATCTTGGCCATCAGTATTTTTTTCTTGGAATTTTCTATATTATCTTGGTCATAACCTCCAAAGAATAAAGCTCTAAACCCCTCTTAGTGGTTTTAAATCTTTTTATATTTCACTATAATGGTCCTGAAATGCTTGCATTCGTGTTAATATGACAGATTTTGTTATGGTCTTGTTTTGTTTGTCTTCCTAATATATGTATGCTGAAAAACTATCATTGATTCATTGGTTATGTTTTCATTTTGGAATTTTGGGTTCTAGATGAATTTTTATATCAGTAGTGAGCCACTGTTATTTGGTATCTTATTGAGTTGCAAGTTGGTTAGGTGAATTCTTTTTATTAGTTTAGGGATAGAGATAAAGAAAGTCAAGTGTTGCCACAGTTCAAGAGGCTTTCTATTTCTGGTTAATACTGTTAATTATATAAGAGTTTTGGTATTTCTAAACTAATTCATGTACCTTAGTTAATAGAGGGGTCCATACAAACCTTCCTAGTGAATATCAGCTTTGCAAGCCTGAACAATTGAAATATTTCTATCCCAAACATTTCCCTATACGTTATATATAATATTTGATTGAAAGATATTTGGGTCATTAATAGTTAATGTGCTTTGATCATATCGTTGAAACTGTTGAGGAAAGCTTGTTTTATTTTCATGTGTGTCTGAGGAGGGAAGAAAGCTGTGTTATGAAATTTTATTGTGATGGCAACCTTTTGGTTTATTTTGTAGAGTTGAATGACAAAGCCTTTGAACAGTAAGTGGTAGTTTGGGGCTGGGATTATTTGAGGCGTATAGTTCAACTTTGGACAGTTTTGGTGGCATTTCAAATCATAGTGACTTTCAACCCTAAACCGTAAAATGGTAGTGACTTTATTCAGTGTTGTTTCTTGTTTTAGGGGCCTAGTTTCCACTAGCAGTGTAAATAAGAACTTGGATATTTATGAAATACTCTGTATTTCGTATCCTAAAAAACAAAATGATTGAAGGAGAGTATGAGACTTTTGGATTATAATTTATATCAGTGCGCCGTTTCACACAGAGCATGCTTTCCAAAATGTGGTCACTGTTTTGGGAACTTTTATTGCTGGAATACATTTACTTGTCAGTTTATTGTAAGATTTCTTTTGACAATGTGGTTTACCCAATTTTTACTTTAATTATATGATAGGGTCTATCTCATGAGTAATTCAAGATTGTGATTCCTAAAATTCCTACATATTTCACGGTATGAAAAAGAGATGGAGTATTTTACGAGACATGCCTAGTTATCCTTTTGCAAAACAAGTCAAATAGTTATTGCAACCATGACACTTCATAACTATATAAGAAGACATGCCAAACGTGATTGTCATTTTGATGAAAGTGAAGATGACCTAAATGGTACTCAAGATGAAGAGATTGAGAGAGAGGTTGATGCACAACAAGAAGATGGTTCTGTAACACAAGAAATGGAGGCATTGAGAAATAATATAGCCGCAAGTTTAATGAGTTCATCTGCTTAGAAATGTATATGATTGCTTGTTTAGGACTAGTTTAATTTTTGTTATAACTATATTATTGACAATATATTTATTTTTAATGGAATACTTTATTTATTTTATAATTAAAATAATTTTTAGGGTGTGATGGAAACATATTTAATAAAAAAATATTATATAAGCTAAAGTGAAAGTGCTTTTCCTTTTACCAAACACTTGAACAAAAAAGTCATTTCAGCATAATGCCTTTTTTAGTTATTATACACAACTCACAGCACTTTTACAAACAAATTTACCAAACACTCAGAAACTGATTATTGTACAAACAGCACTTATAACAAAAAGTTTACCAAACGCCAAACTGCTTTCTCTCACAGCTGATTTCTCTCACAGCAAATCTGACAGCGATTAAATAGAACAAAATAAAATCTAGGTAAAGTCTTTACATTTTGTAGGTAAGTAATGTTGAAGAACATTACCTTCTCTTTCGCTCACTTCACTTGGTCTGGCTATGCACACTTTTACTGCCTTCCTCCTTTTGAAATCTGTCATTTATTGTAAGGAACAAAGAAAATACTTTTGTTTTTCCCTAAACTTGAAATCTAATAATGCAAATTGATCAAGCACAGACTACATGCCATTACTGTTAATCAAATCAATCGTTTTTCACTGGAACTACAGTTAAAAAAGGCGAGGCTTACTGAAATTTTTGCTCATGTCTTTATACACTTTTAACAACATCGGTTTTTAGGTTTGTCGATGCCTATGTGGTGTGATGTAAAGTAAAATTTGGCATAGTGTCTTAATATTCAAATTTGCAGTGCACGTTTTTTATGATATGATAATTCACGCTCTTAATGTTCAAATTGACAATATATCAATGTACATGTTTAAGTTTAACTAACTGTTAGGCAACATATATAACATATTTTTATCATGAACTTTTTCTTATAATATGACCAAACTTAACTAATTCGGGCACACTGCTATCACAAATTCAGCCCCACTAACGATTCTCAGGCACAGAAAAGTTTATGTGGCTAGTTGAGCGAGGCACGATAATGTAAGAGAGCAATGAAGCCATTAATTTGGTGTTTGGTGATGTGGAATTGGATGGTTGTTGTGTGGGTGGTGGAGGAAACCAAAGCATATTCTCACCTTTTTACATATAATTTTCGGTTCGAGTGGATAAATATTTCTTAATTTTATTTGAAGGGTGTTCACCTGTTCCTCCTCCCCGATTATCGGCCAAAAAGAACATAAAAAGGAAACTTCCCCTCAATTATCTCCTCTGACCATATAGATCACATATATTTTAACCTACTTTGAAACGTTCCCCATTTAATTTCTATCTATCTCTCCCTCTCAAGCAATGTCCGACGACCCCTCCACTTCCTCCACCCTAGAAGATGATCAAGAAACCATCAATTCCACCACCACCACCACCATCACCCCAACCCCAACAACTACCGCTTCAGTCTCAGCCTCAGCTTCATCACATAACTCATCCCTCTCCAAATCCCAATCAGCAATCCAATCCCTCTCAACCATTCTCCCCTCCCTCCCTCCTTCCCTCTTCTCCTCCTCCAACCCTGCCCGCTCCCTCCTCCATGACGACCACACAGCCTCCCACATCTCCTCCCTTCTCCGCCAACCAGACTCCGGTGCAGGCGACAACAACCTCTGCCGCTGGCTCTACGACACCTTCCAATCCTCCGATCCCGACCTACAACTCCTCGTCCTTCGCTTCCTTCCCATCATCGCGGGCATCTACATCTCCCATGTTGCCCTCCGTGTACCCCTAGCCGGCTTTGAGGCCGTCCTCTTAGCCATCTACGCCCACGAAACCACAACACGTTCTGGCCACTCCATAACCGTCAGTGTCCCCGACTTGTCTCATCCCAGTCTCTGCCATGAAACCAATGCACCCACTAAAAACAACTCCACAGGCCTAAACTTGGCCGTCATATCTCCAAGTTTGGAACCCTACGGTACAGTGAGGTCCACAAGGAGGGCTAGGATTGTTGGGGTTGCACTGGAGTTGTACTACAGCAAGATACAAGAAATGCCAGTGCAGTCGAAGATCGAATTTTGCGAGTTTAGTAGGATTTGGGCTGGCCAAGACGGTGAAATGTACAAGGAGATGACTGGTAGTAGCTGTAGCAGTAGGAGTGAACGCAAAGAAGAGGATGGAAATGGAGAAAAGGAGGGGAGGATTCCTCTGCCATGGGAATTGATGCAACCGATTTTGAGGATATTGGGTCACTGCCTTTTGTGTCCAAACCAAAACAAGGAGTTGGTTGATAAGGGCAGTGAGGCTTGTAGGAGTTTGTATGCCAGGTCTATGCATGATATCAATCCCAACGCTATTTTGGCCACTGGGAGTCTTCTTAGGCTAACCAAGCAAGCATTGGAGTCCAAGGATGATTTTGATCCAACTGAGATTCCTAAATCTCGAGTTATTAGTATCTAGGTTCTCATTCTCCTGATAATCAACAAATTATAAGTTTAGTTAATTTCTAAAACTTTATTCTAAGACAATATCAAATCTCAAGTTTATTTCCCCCATCCAAATGCACCGTTATAGTCTTATCCTCTCTTCTAGGGTTTTGATCGGTGTTTCTATATATACATATATATTGAGCTGACTTGGTGGACCACAACAAGATTGATGGAATAATATGGGAAATGTTTTATGTTGACTTCTTATATTCAATTCTTACATGTTTTGGGTTCCTTGCAATTATATTTGTTGATGTGTTCTTCTTTTTATTTATATATAAGCGATAGTCTAAATTATTCTAATCCTTGTAATTATATTGAAATGATTGTTGATTTGTTGATGTGTTTTTTTTTTTTTTTTTGAAGTCATCTTCTAACCTTTACCTACGCTACCTCCTCTCCTATATATATTTTCAGCAATTCCATTTTCCCTCAATCAGTTTTGGAATTTCGATCCCTTAACCCACATCTTCTCACTAAGCCGAAATGGTCCTAACAAGCTCTTACGAATTCATAAATGAAAAATATAAACTATAGATAATTTTTATTGCAAGTATATGATAATACGTATATTAATGTTGATTGACATCATAAGCTAAAATAAAAGATTAATTCATTGCATTGATGGACTTATTCTTCCTCTTTCATTTTCCATCAAAACTCATCATTATCTACGTTGTTAAAGGATATTCTTGCCACTAGTAAAAAAAAAAACCTTGCGCGACGAAACACAATTCGTCGCTCAAAGTGACTTTGCACGACGAAAATTAAACTTCGTCGCTAAAAGTCTTACGCGACTAAATTTTGCCCAACGAAACACAAATCGTCGCACAAATTCACTTTGCGCGACAACAAAACATCGTCTTTGCGCGACGAAACAATAAAATTCGGTGCACAAAGTCTTGCGAGACGAAGTGTGGTTCGTCTCGTAAAGTCTTTACAAAAATAAACAAAATAAAAAATTATTTTTAAAAATCTTTGGATGACTTTGCGCGACGAAACAATAAAATTCGGTGCACAAAGTCTTGCGAGACGAAGTGTGGTTCGTCTCGTAAAGTCTTTACAAAAATAAACAAAATAAAAAATTATTTTTAAAAATCTTTGGATGACTTTGCGCGACGAAACAATAAAATTCGGTGCACAAAGTCTTGCGAGACGAAGTGTGGTTCGTCTCGTAAAGTCTTAAAGTGTGTTTCGTCTCGCAAAGTCTTTACAAAAATAAATAAAATAATTTTTTTTATAAAAATCTTTGCATGACTTTGAGCGACGAATTTATAAACTTCGTCTCGTAAAGTCTTTACAAAAATAAAAAAAATTATTTTGTTAGAAAAATATAATATTTTAAATTGACGATCAAATTGGTTCATTGTATTCATATAGGGTCAAGGAGTGTAACTGTAAAAAATCATCAAAATCGAAATTGAAATAACCTTTAAATCGTGATTTTTCATTTATAACCGTTGAAAAGTTTTGTCCTATTACTTGATCTCTGAATGTTTATTTTTTCCGATTTTTGGCGTATATGATCTCGAAGTATAAACAAACAAGTTTGATGGTTGGATCTTTGAAACTAGTTTCGTAGAATGCATATGCCATCAAAACAATATATTCACTAACAATTAAGAGTTGTTGGATCATTGAAACTAGTTTCGTAGAATGCATATGCCATCAAAACAATATATTCACTAACAATCAAGAGTTTATTTATACTTTTATTAAATATAACATAAGACTTTGTGGTATCCACTAGTGTAAATATTTTAAATTGA